AAAAAAAAGGTGATTTCTTTTTTTTTTTTTTTTTGGCAGAACCGGAGATTGAACTCAGGTCCTTGTGCTTGCCAGGGAAGCGCTTATTCCACTGAGCCATCTCCCCGGCCCCCCAAAAACTGTACTCTCAATTGACTTTCTAGTCAATGTCCCCCAAACAAGACACAGCTCTACTCTACTGTACATTCTAATAGCAACTTACAGCCATTCTTCACAAATTTAATTTCAGATTATTTTTACATTTACTTGACTAACATCTTTCCATTCCTTCCTCCCACCTGTTTTCTCCACAAATACAGGGGCTCCATTTAATTTTTGTTCCTTATATCTCCAGCAATACCTGATAGATGGTAGTGTATAACAGAAGCTCAAAAGGTATTTTCTGAATAAATATGGGCAACAACTGCAGCTAACAGACCAACCTAACTTTTAACACACATAAAAGTTAAAGCATACATACTAAGCCAGAATTAAGCATAAGAGAAACATTTGAGAGTTATATTTTCCTCTTGTTGACTGCTCAGTAATTCAAGGTATGTTTACCAAATCATTAAATTTTTAAGATAATCAGGAAAGAACTACAGGATGATGGTTTTATTTTACCATCCATTCAAATATTAAAATGTCTGCTTATTTACTTTCATATCTTTTAGTAGCTAACCCCTGTGTACATATACACAGTAAATGTATGCATATGCAAATATGTATCCAATGATATAAATACCTAATACTGTACTACAAATGTAATCTGAAAAATCCTTTGAATCCTAGTATGTACTAGCATGTAATAAGATAAAAAAAGTTTTTGAAAAATAATCATAATCCAAATCACATATATAGCCTTTCGTAGTAGTGATAAATTTATGGTACTTACCAAATGGAAAGTTTTCAAGCCAAAAATATCAAGGAAAAATTAATAATTTTAACTCATACTAATGAAATCCATTATAGGCTTTTACAAAATTGAATTGTTGAGCATACAGTGCAACCCAAAAGCCCAAACGATCAGATAATTTATTACTCTGACAAAACATCAGGATCAAAGGATCATTTATAATAGTATTTACATAAAAGGCAGAAGCGAATCCTAAAAAAAAGAGCAAGTATGTACAGAGAACAATGAAAACACAAAACCACTGCACTCTGGGAGGCTAAAGCAGGAGGACCCTAAGTTCAAGTTCAGTTTGGGGAACTCAGTGAGATCCTGTCTCAAAGGACAAAACAAAAAGGCATGGAAAATACAGATCAGTGCAAAAGTCCCTGGTTCAATCCCCAATACCTAAGAAGAAAAAAAGCAGTGCTAAATGTTGCTATAGTAAAAAATACAAAATATTATATAAAAAACCAGGGGCTGGTGAGATGGCTCAGTGGTCTAAAGCACCTACTTGGAACAAGCTTGGCAAAGCACAGGGACCGCGGTTCAATCCCCCAGCACCACATGCCAGCCAGCCGCGCCCCCTGGTGGGCTGAGCTGGCCACACACACACACACACACACACACACACACTAAATAAATGTTAAAAAAAATTTTTTTTTTTAAAAAATATATAAAAAACCACTTTGAGCCAAGTGTAGTGGTAGACGCTAATCTCAGCTTCTTGAGAAGCTGAGGCAAGAGGATCTCAAGTTCAAGTCCAGCCTGAGTAACTCAGTGAGATTCTATCTCCAAATAAAACAATATTTTTAAAGGGCTGGATGTAGCTCAATGGAGAGACTTTGAAAAGAAAAAAAATGGACAGTATTACTTTAGCTACTTGAAGGGCCATCCTTTTTGCCTCTATGCAAACAAAAGAACCAGAAATTTCATTTAAACGTTATCTACCTGTATGGCACCCTTAGACTTTTTTTTTTTTCTTTTTTTTAAATGCATTTAGTACAGGGCCTACAAGGTCTCACTACATAGATCAGACTCATAGTGATTCTCCTGTTTTCAGCCTCCCATGCACTGAGATAACAGGCATGCAACACCACGATCGCTGTCTCAGCATGCCCTGGGGGCAGGGCCAGCACTACGTGACAGGTATCGAACCCTGGTTGCTGAGGCTGCCTAGGCAGGCGCTTTAGTCCGCTGAGCTACCTGGCTGGTCCAAACCCTTAGACTTATCACCTCTCCTGCTCCTACTTCCCCCTTCCAGAAACACCCAAAAGTCCAAACCTAAAAGTGTATAGGAGGTGTATCATATACTTTGTTACAATAAAAGCTTAAAGTGCTACAAAATAAAACTCACACTACTAAGCTATACCATGACAGGCTGTATAAATATATATATTTTTATTTTTATTATGTTTTCTTCTATCTGTTTATTTATTTATTTGGTACAGGGTCTTGCTACACAGTTCAGACTCTAGTGATCCTCCTGTCTCAGCCTCCCCAGTGCTGCGATTGCAGGCATGTGCCACCATGCCTGGTTTCTGTGGCTGGCACAGTTCACCCAGGGTGGAGCCAGCATGGCATGTGGTACTGGGGATTGAACTCAGATCCTTGTGCTTGTCAGGTAGGCACTTAGACTGCCGAGCTATCTCCCAAGCCACTATATTTTTAAAATAACTAGGAAGAATTGAGTCATTAAAAACAAATATTCACAAGGTCATATGCAATTCATTCTGCACGTAACAAATGTGTTCTATTTAACTCACCTGTGCAATCTCCTGATCTTTTGTCACCACTGTGATTACTTGTGCCTCCGAGCCGGACTATACTGGAAGAACTTTGATAACTTAGCTTAGGAAGGCAGTCAGCACTTCCTTTTGCACTCTCATTCTCTGACACTACAAAGATGAAAATGAAAATGTTAATGAAATTAATTTATATATACTCTAGTAGGTAAAAAGAGAAGTAGCCTTTAGTCTTAAATATGTCTACCTGAAAACTGGTAATAAGAATGTATTGAATACGTCTTTATTATGTATCAGTTACCCACAAATAAATCATTCCACTTATCTGAGGCCTCAAACCATGGATCAAATTAAGTACTGGTCATACATAACGTTCGTGCACAAATTCTGCATTTCCTCTTTAGTTGTGAAAGTGAGCTTTTGGTGAGACAAGTGGGTTGGGGGGGTCACAGCCCACTACAAAACTTCAACTAAAAATGTTAATAAACCTCAGAAAAGAGATTCTGTTTAAATAATACATATAAACATACCTCTATTTCTCCAACAATAAGCATTTTGTGAGCTACACATCACTTACTCTTACAGTATTTGGACAGTGTTTCGGCACTGAGGTCATACATGAAAAATCTATATGAAAGCATTACTGGTAAAGAGAGTTTATAATGAAAAAAGTCGTAATAGGAAAACAGAAACTGAAACATGCTTTATTAAAAGTCAATTGTATTTTTTATGAACATATAAATTCACAATTTTACACATTTTCAACATAATACCTACATGAACTAGAATCACTCTCTTTTTTATCTTTTTCTTCTTGAATATCCTCAGTAGATGCATCCCCTCTTCTAACTTCATCTTTAGACAATGAATTATAACCAAGATCAGACTGGCCACCTAGTAAAAAAAGAAAAAAAAAAAAAAAAAGAAATAGAGAATAAAGAAAGAAGAAAAGAACAAGGAAGGGAGGAAGAAAAAAAAAAAAAAAAACACCTTATGTTGTTTATTATACTTCTTTAGGGAAAGTACCTGAAGAAACAACATAGTAGTATTCTGGCTAATTTCTAATTGAAAACACTATTTGGTTAGCTAGCCATACCATATTGCCATTCATGTAAGAAATCTCAAAACAATTCACTTTTAGCTCCACAGCGCAGTCAAAAGTTTATTCACACAAATATGTGGGCACCAAAAGACAGATCAATTAGTCCATTTTCTTTGTCGGGAAGGTCTGGATTTCAACTAAGCAGTGCAGAAGATATACCCTTATAGAACATTCATAGTAGGTCACTGGAGCTCAATATCTAATGATTCTACGAAGGAGTTAAGTTTTTTAAAATTTGCTGATAATTTTTCAAAATTTAGATGAAAAATTACAGGATTGCACATGAAATATTAATATATAGGAACACACAAAAACATCTAATGTTAAAAATGTTAAGCAAAAGTTACATAAATTTAAGAAAACTATAACACTGTTTTGCTAAAGAGGCTTGTTATCCTTTGTTTCCATTATATTAGTATCAAAAGACAAGATTCTAATTGTTTTTTTTAAAGCAAGGTTTCAGTACATAGTTTAAGCTAACCTTGAATTCATGATCCTCCTGCTCCTGCTTCCCAAGTGCTGGGATTACAGGCATGCACTACCATGGCTAGCATTGACTTAATGTTTTTGTTTAAATCTCTAATTTCCAGATTTGTTAACATAATGTTGCCATAATTAGATTAAAATAAAATTGTGATTTTGAGTTTGCATTTTTTCTAAATAAACTTTGAAACCTCATTTGCAAAGAAATTACAGATAGAAATAGGTAAAGAAAATCTTGAAATTCATGCCTTTACAAGGTTCTGCATTGTCTCAAGACAGTCTTTTAAAAAGCCATAGTTGGGTTGGGGAGATAGCTCAGTAGTCTAAGTGCCTGCCTGGCAAGCACAAAGACCTGGGCCATCAAAACCGGGCGTGGTGGTACACGCCTGTAATCCCAGAGCTGGGGAGGCTGAGACAGGAGGATCACTATGAGTCTGAGCTGCATACTGAGACCCTGTACCAAACAAACACACAAATAAACACATTTTTAAAGAAAAGCTATAGCTAAAAAATAAAAGATCTCATCATTTTTCAGACTTAATGCCTGAGAATGACTGCTACAACTTATTAAATTCACAGAGCATTATCAAGAAATAAAGCCAGCCAAGGAAAAATTACTACATTTCAACATAATCAGTTAACATTTATAAATATTAAAATAGAAATAAAAGTAGACTTAAAATGTTGACACTGTAGAAACTCACATTTTATCAGTAATGCTTCAATTTTTAAAGTTTCTGTCCATTAACAGTATGTGCTTGGGGCTGGGGAGATAGCTCAGTGGTATAAGCACCTGCATGGCAAGTGCAAGTCCTGAGATCCCTGGTATGAGGAAGGGGGATGTGGGCTTATACCATTTAAAACTCATGTATAATGTTTTAAATGTAGTAATGAAAACTCAGAATAATGTTAGTAACATATTTTTAAGTGTGCTGGCTTCTATAGAAAAGGCTTATATACAAATCTTGTATTTCAATGAACCCTATGCCCTCATCAGTGCTATAATGCTATTTTAAATTATTTAAAATTCTTTTTTTTTTTTTTTTTTTTTGTGGAACCAGGGATTGAACTCATCAGGCCCTTGCACTTGCCAGGCAAGTGCTTATTCTACTGAGCTATCTCCCCAGCCCCTAAAATTCTAAATTTAAAACAGCTTAATGGTCAGGGAGATAGCTCAGTGGCTTAAACGCCTGCCTGGTAAGCACAAGGTCCTGAGTTCGATCCCCAGTACCAAAACAAACAAACCACAAAAAAACAGCTTAATATCCATAAGAATTTTCAAAAATACCACATTATAGAGAGTTCTTAGGGTACCCTTCATCCAGTTTCCCCCGATACCTTATATAACCAAAGTGCAATGTTAAAACCAGAAAATTAACATTGCCATATACTACTAAGAAATAGAACAAAATCTAACAGTATTTTCATAATTATCAAGAATTATGCAAGAGAACTGCATGGTAAAGGGGCTGGGTTACTTGGTGGTGGAACACTTGCCTACCATCCTAAGGCCCCGTGTTCAGTGCCTAGCACCACATGTACACAAAAGATGGTAGGCTATGTATGGAAGATGAAGGGAGGAGAAGAGGGAGGGAAGAGAAAAGACGGGAAGGGGGAGAAGGGACAGAGAATGAAGAGCAGAAAAAAAGAAAAAGATACAATGAAGAGATCTGTGGCTACCCAGAGTTCAATTACTGTGCACTAAATGATTGATTAAAGTACTTTACAACTTGTCAAATAAGGAATGAACAAAATTACATGTAGTTATTAAATCTGGTATGAAATCACGTACCTAACATAAAAAATTAATGTGACAGTTAAGCATATCACTGAAAATAAAAGTTTAAAAACACAGGCTAGCAAATCTTGTTTTGAAAATGTACTGTAACGAATATATACATAAGCACACACAAACCTGTACTAGATCTATCATCAGTAGCATACATTTTGATTAAACCCGTATTAAAAGGTGCCTGCTCCACAGTGTGTGTCCCATGACCACTATCCATGCTGCCATGACTAACAGTATCCAGGTCACTGCCATCTGCTTAAGAACACAATTTGATAGCATTTTACTACTCAATGAGACACCAAAAATACACATTAGAGTTTGTTGTTCAAGCTAATAATCTACCAGTGTAATAAAACAAGAAAAGTCCCACATAATCAGCAAAATACAACAAAGAAACCTATTGTGAATTATCAATGAACATTGAAACAAAGGTTGGTAATTTAAATGAAAAAGAAATTATTTTTAATTTTTTTAAATACAGGCTGAACTTCCCTAATCCAAAAATCTGAAATCTGAAACGCTATAAATGCCAATGTGATACAAGTGCAAAATCCCACACTGAGCTGCATGTGACAGATCACAGTCCAGGGCAGGCACACTAAATTACTTTCCAGCTAGCTGAGTGTATAGGGTGTACACAGAACATAAATGAATTTTATTCATTTATTATGTAAAATTACTTCCCAGCTAGCTATGTGTTTAGGGTGTACATGGAACATAAATGAATTTTGTGTTTAGACCTTGGTTCTCCCTTGGAGATATGTTATTAGATAGAAACAAATATTCCCAAATCCTCCTCCCCAAAATCCCAAATCCAAAATCCCAAATCTCAACCAGATAAGGGATAGTCAACTTGTATGAAAAGTTGCTCAATGGTAGTAAAACCTAGAAATTATCCAGTATTTTGAAAATATTAAAAATTCCTAAAAATACAAAATGCAAACCACTCAACTAATTTTGAAGAAAAAGTAAAACCCATATATCCCTTAATTACCTGAAAGAGTTGTTTGTGACGAGTGTGCCTGTTTCTTTAAAGCTCTTTTGAACTGTGCTACTCCTAAAACAACATTTCTTACTTTTGTCCAGAGAAAATAGCCACTGCGACTTCTTGAAGGCCAGGTACTTTCCAAAACAGCCTATTCATTTAAAAAATAAAATAATAAAATAATTTTTATAAATGAACATACACTGGCTCTAGAATCAAGCTAAAGAATACTGAAGTAGATTATATAATATAAAGAACACACAAATCTTATTGATTTACAAAATATATTTTGGATACTCTAAAAGAAATGCCCAATAACCCCTACATCAGTTACTTTTGCTATTAAACTAAGATTTTACAATGACAAAAAAATTCTTTTTCCATTAAAGCAAAATAATTACCTTATTATAATAACCATAAGTAATTGCATTGGGATCAATACCAGCTTTCTGCATTTCAAAAAGTACTCGAACTGCAAGCACTGGCTGATCATACTGCCCACAGAGCTGCATAAGAATGCGGTAGCACACCTGAAACACAAGGTGAATAGTAGACAGGAACAAAAATGCTTATGTATGTAAATCTAGCACAAAATGATGCAGTGTAAAGAATAACTTACCTCGTCAGGTGGATCCATCTTCTTTGACTGCATTTTTTTTAGCACATCATAGGCTGTTTTCAGAGCCCTCACTTTGGAATGACATACTTTCACGTAAGTTGGCAGACAAATAAACCATAGCCCATAACAGTGGCGCAGTAGGCACCTAGACCACATCTGAGGGATAGAAGAATACTTCTTGGCAATTTTATGGGCTGATTTAATTTCCTAGAGAAAAGAAGGCAGAAATGTCATTAATACACTTAGGGTTAGGTTACCTTATTTAAAGGAATGCTAAAGAAGTAAAAATCACATGTTTTTATGCTGCTTCTATAAGAAAATCTGTGTATAATTAACACACTTTCAAGCTTCTCTTGACTATATATTATGAAATATGTAAAATAAAGTTCTAGGACAGGGTGACTAGGATACCTTTCTGGTGAGATTACTGTAAGCTATCTTCAGAGTGCATAAAGAGAATAACCTAGTAATAGTTACACACAGGGTGGCACAGTATATTAAAGGAGGATGTCAAATTTACTTTATTCCAATTCTTGAATATGTGAAGAATTAAATGATTTCAAAGTACCTGTTTTGTTCTTCTGAACATAGGAGAAGGACTATTAGGGCTACTTGGTTTTGAAGGCAATTTACTCTTCTGTGTTTGAAAAAATCCTTCAGGTCTCTCAAATAAATTGTTCCTAAGAACTGGAAACCCATTATAGCTGTTTAAGAAAAGAAAAAAAAAATTCTCAAGCACAAATAGACAATCACCATGGTTGTAAGCTAAAAAAAATTATGACCTCCTTATAAGAACTTAACTACTTCTATCAGGCTATAATATATACTCAGTAAATATTTAAGCTAACATTACTTTTTTATGAAAATATTTTAAAAATTTAATAGTCAAATACAGACTCTGTATATCTTGTGGTAGTGAGGAAAAAAACACCTAAGTGGACTTGGTATCAAATGCTATAATGACCTTAAACTTTAAAAATCAGTATTTATGTAAAAATATAACAAGCGTTTTAGAAAGTATGACTAATGGTAAGGGCTCCATGAAATCAATTACCTTTCAAAAACACAACCATTGACTTCACTGCTTTGGATTAACATTGATTATAGAACTTCTCTCAAAAAGATGCAAAACAACAGCTTCAGGTGGACTACATTAGACATCAGGCCTAGCTTTCAAATTATGAACTGGTTTGTCAAGCTAGCTGGCTAGGTCCTAGCTGTTGAGGACCTCATTTATATATTACTATCCTCCCCCTCACACCAAGAATTTAGAGAAGTTGAGTTTGGAAAAGAAGCAGCAAAGATCAGAACTTGCTCTATGAGGGTAGGTCTAACTAGGGTACTAAAAGTATTCTGGGCATTAAAATATTGTAGTTAGGAGAAACCCATGCTGAAAAAAACCCAAAGTGGCCAAAAGCAACAAAATTCAGCTACTTTGTAATATTCATAAAATTATACAGTTTTACTTAAGTTAAGAAACCGGGGGGGGGGGGGCCTGCCCCTTAGCTCAGCTCTTTAAGTGGCTGCTTCAA